CGGTGACCATCCGTCCTTTATTTTAAAGGACAGTCCTTTATTTTAACCCCCTGTCCTTTATAATTTTTTTCAAAATAAAGGACGCCTTTTGTCCTTTATTTCTTAAACTGTCCTTTAAATCAGCTCTGCATTCTTCATAAATAAATTAAATAAATAAATTTTTAAACACAGAATATGAAAAATAAAAATGTCCCTTACAAAATATAATGAAAGCCTTCGCCAGTTTGTTTCGCCCCCACTTAATGGTTTATATCTAAACGGTAATCTTTGTACAATCTATAAAGGAGGATCGTGTTGCGCGCTGAGTTTCCAATTCCACTAAAAGAAAACAATAAACTCTCTGCTGCACAGTGGTTCAAAACTGTCATTTAGTGTTCGTAATTCACTGGATCCTTCATTTTTCACTTAACTTGATTAATTTTTATTTTTTTTTATGAAAGATTACAATATTTGCAAGAGACCAGTTGAGCCTGATATATGACCTTTTATTTGATTATATTAAATTTTTTAGTGCAAAATGTAGAAAAAGTAGCAATTTTGAAGAAAATGTATTCTCCTGTTCCATTTAAAAAATGTCACATAACAAAAACTAGTTGAAAACAATTGTATGGTTGTCCCAAAACGAAAAAATTACAAAAAAAAAAGTGTTGAAATGTTATAAAAAATGTTAACCAACATAAATATTTTTTTGGTGTTTAGTAAAAATTGGTTGAAAAATGAAAGCTTCGGTGAATTATGAACACTAAATTCCAATCTTGAACCACCGTGTGCCAGCTTCGGAAAAGTAGCAATGCATTACATGCGGGATAAATAATATAGGTAATGTATTTCTTATGAGTTCTCGATTATATTACTGCTAACTATGTAATCAGCATTCTAATGTATTCAAAAAGTTCCAAAAATTGCATATTAACACACATTCATTTTTCGATACTAGGTAATGCAAAATTGAATGCCCCACTTTTCTTAGGACATCGCCCTGGGGAAAAAAATGCATTTTCGAATGTAAAAAGGGTTGTTTTACTGATTGTTTCTTCAATTACTATACATTATATTTTCCCACTGGGATTATTACGTTTTAGGAAACCATTCAGCAATTTGTTTTTTTTTTGATTTAAATATTTTTAAAATAGAGAGAATGTTGTCCGGTGGCGTCATGGCGCAAATGCTTATATTAAGACATCAAAGTGCCTACACACAAAAACTTGCAAACATATTGCTCGTCAAAATGGCAGTTAGTAGGCAATCGGTGTTTGCCTGTGGAGTTCTGCGGTAACCAATAACGCAAAACTGGTATATTTGCACATTCATGCGTCTGGCATAAGGATATCTATGTTTGTACACTCTGTCACGTCGCTGTGTTGATACTACGTATTTTTGTTGGCGTGCGGTTGTTTTTCCAGTTGGAAATCCTGTCGCGTGCGCGTGCTAATTTGAAGTTGTCGTGCCTTTCGTCTCACCTGTACGCCTTTAATTTGAACAATGTAACGAAAAAAGAGTTGGCCATTTTTGCATGGCTTTAAAATCATTCCATTTGTGTAAATTTGCAGTTTTATGCACGCAGGTACAACTGTATGTGCGTATATAGGTTTGTTGTGTCAAATTACGTACATATATTTACTTTTGTTTTTACCAGGGAGTACACGTATACTTATATCCCAAAATAAACGCATTTATTTGCCCAAATAAGTGCAAATTCTGATGAGGATTTGGAGCAATGGCGGACCCATGATTTTAGCTCGGGGGGTTTAAATTTTTAATTTTATCACCTATTTAAGAATAAGAATCAAAAATTTTGCGCACCCAAGTATGATAGACATTTTATTTTATTATATTATATAATGTTTATAAATGAAAAACCAAAAATTTTTAAAACACACGAAAAAATCTATATATTCACAATATAGTATAACTGCGCCTTTAGTTTTTCTCCCAGACGTCAGGATTTTTTTAAAGGACTTTAAAACTTTTGGGATATGATTGAATAGAAAAATTATTTAAAAGATTTGGTGCATTGTAGAGTAACAATATGGGTATCAATTAAAAGGAAAAAAATTCTGTAGAATTAAAAAAAAAATTATTTTTTGGTGCGCCAGGACGAATAAGTATTGAAAATGTCCTTGTAAAACTTTATCTTTGAATATCTTCGGAAATTTCCAATACTTGTTTTTGAAAAAAATACCTACCTTTATTAGTTTTAGATTAAAAAAATAGGTATTATGGGTTTTGATGAATATCTTGAATGTCAATTAAATGAATGTAGAGTTGATTTCCTATCAATTCAAACATTCATGTTTCTGACGATAAGTACATATGTAGAAACATTTTTAATTCCACATAAAAACCACCCGCAATATTTTTGCAGAATATCACAGTCTAAGATCCAACAAAGGCTCGACTTTCACCCTTCTGTATAATGGACGAAATCTCTGAAATTTAACGTGTAAAGAAATATTTCGCGAGTGAGTTGACTGAAAATATTCTGGCCAGGATATTTATAATTAAATATTCAAAAACTGTTATAATTTTTTTAATGTTGTACTCATTTGCTTAATGAATAAATTATATACCAATCGAAAGTACTAAGGCTATGGAATGTGAAAACGTTGGGCCGCCTATATTTTTCTAGCCTGCCTATCGGGTTGGCAGGTATGTGCAGGTAGGTAATACTAGTATTTTTCACTCATCTGCTTAACACATTCTATAGGCTTTATGGTTTCGATTGGTATAAATCGTCGTTTAAAGTGCAAAACCGCGTATCAACAAAATTCAAAACCGCGTATCAGCCAAATGCAAAACCGCGTATGTGAAGTTGTAGAAATTATTTTCTAGATCGTAAAAACACTTATATTTCAAAATGGTTCTATTTTTTATAGTGCAATCGCATATCTGCTTAGTATATTTCAGGACGAATGGATAAGGATTGAGCCAAGAGCTAGAGTGAGCAAATCCAATTTTTGGCAGCCAATGTCAGTTACGCGGTTTTGCAGAATTACGATATGCGGTTTTGTACTTTAAACGACGAAATGTAATTTGTCCATTAAACAAATGAGGGCGAAATCAAAAAAAAAATTATAATTTTTGAATATTTAATTAAAAATATCCTCGCCAGAATTTTTTAGCCAACCCACTCGCGAAATATTTCCTAACACGTTAAATTTCATAAAAAGTAGATTTCCTACTATCAAAAGTCGGTGTTTCAATAATCTTATCCGATCAAAATTAAAATCGTATCTTGGTAACTTTTCGAGAAAACTGTGATTTTTACATATATATATTAGACTCACCAGAAACAAATAAAATTGGTTTTTTTGACTCCTTGACTTTTTAGCTTCCATTATGGCTAAAAACTATTCCCTGAAAATTTTGTTCAAAAATATTAACATTTAGAGGTTTCGCGTGGACATTTTGTGCCTCCGCCTCAAGAAATTGAAGCTTTTTAAGGACCGGCGAACCTTTCCACATACACGTGCCATTATTTCCGAAGAAATATTCCATGTTATTTCCATATTCTAAAAAATATTAATTAAATTATTTCATATCACCAAACTTCAAAACAACGTCAAAAATATTTTTAGAAATGCCTGATAAATACGAAACAATTACAACTACAAAATTTATATCAAAGTGTAGAGCCGAACGGGATTTGATTTGGAAGATTATCAAGCGCAATAATATTTAAACTTGAATATTTGAATCTGAATCTCGATGTTTAAGTTGTTGGTGTTATGTGATTTATGCAACAATTGCTAAAGTACCATTTTGGTCATATTGTTTTAGATATGTTCTTTTTAATGAATGTACATCTTTAGGATTTTAGTAAACTGGGACTGAGTATTGCATGTTAAAGTAAAACGATGTTAACTTAAATTTAATTTTAGCAATTTACTAATTTCATTAGACCCGTAAACTCTTTATCCGCGATTATTCGATAAAGTTTATATCCAAGTCTATTTGCCACTCCTAACAGCATAGCTTTAGCTGCTGGAAAGTGCTAGTTTTGATGAAATTTTCTGTTCTCAGACCTACTAGGAATTTTGATTTCTTCGAGTAATTCAGTTGAGTTTTTTCTCGACCGTGAAAAGTTTTTGTCTTTTCGCTTTTAAATAAAGAAATCTTGATTCATTACCTTTCGAATGGTACCCCACTTTTGTATGTAAATAGAGTAAGAAATATTAAACTTATAACGGAATTTTATTGATCCAACTTTTTATCGATATTTACCACGCTCATAATTCAAAAAAAAAACTACTTTTAAGTCCATTTCTATCAGTTTATAATTCCTTGTTATAAGGAAATTCTAACTGTCAATTTTGGGCATTTTAGCTTTTGTAGTTAGTTAAATACTTCAGTTTTCGCCTTTTTTAAAATTACAGTTATATATAGGGTTTCGTGACAGCACCTCTAAATACCAATTTGATATATCTTATAACACACCTTGTGCAAATTTTCATTAATCTATCTTTAATAGTTTTCGAATTTCAGAAGTAAAAGCAGCTAGATGTGTCGAATTTTACACTGTGTGACGTGCCAAAATAAGTCGAGACTTATCACTGTTCTTTGAGATATTAATTGAAACTTAAATCGTAAAAAAATATTTAAAAAAAAACGAATTAAGCGTCTCTTAAATGTCGCTGTATACCTTGCGTGTTAACGCCAGCTTCTGCAGACAGCAAATGTGTCTGGAATTGAATTCCAAGTTTCCAAAAATTCATTATTACCATTTTTGTTCGATTGCTTCAAACTATTTCCTTGCTTCGACTAAGTACATATTTGATCCATATTGAATTACACTGGAACTCGATCAGCTGCATTTAAAAATCGTTGATTTCCAATCAGTCAAATTTAAACAAGCTCAGTTTATCAAGTGAAGTCACATCAGGATACATAGTAAATTTGAGTGTTTCTGATAACTCCTTGAATTCAGAAAACGTCGATGAATATTCGTCGATGAGAGTATTTATTACCAAAGAAAACTCTTCAGTGACTTTTGATCCGTCTGGTTCTTCATCTAAATCCAAATCTTATCTTAGGTTTGTTAAGTTTAGCAAACATTTGTAATTTTTGGAAACAATGAGGCATATTCATAGTCAAAATAAAGACGACACTAAAGTTAGTTGAAGCTTTTTGACATAATTATTAATGTAAAATCTGCCAAAAAAGTAAAAGCCTCAAACCTTCATATATTTATTTCCTGTGAGGATATGAAGTTCAATATTTTTGAGAACTACGGCTATTATATGTATAACCAAGGGAGGCGAAGCCATGCTTTGCGCACAAAGCTTATTGATGATTGTTGCAATATAACTCAAGAATCGAATGTCTTATGTGGATATTGTTGGATTTTATTGGTTACCGTCTGTACTTTTGGCACTTCTACTACTAGTCATTGAGGAACTGGGTCGCCAATTGATACCGTGTCCAAATTATTTTGTTGCGTGCCTAAGGTCCGCCAGCCCTGTCCTACAATATGTTTTCAAGATCGCTGCACATNTACCAGTTTCATCTAGAGATAGTTACAATGTATTTCTGGAGGAAATGGCTGAACTTTGCCTCAAACAAATAAATATATGTCCAAATAAGTTTGGAAAGGTCTTGGATCTCGTTTACGTTGATGATGTTCCGAAGGCCTCTATTAATCGGTGTGATCCCCTAGTTTTGCCGGAAGATGCATACCATCCTGCTCTTGAGTTAAGCTACGAAATCATAAATGAAATACATAATAATAAGTCAAGTTCAAGTACTAGATATGTTTTTGCGAAAGCAAATTTCAGGAAAATTAACAAAGAACTTTCAAAGTTATCTTGGCCAATATATCGTCGTCCCAGAAAACGGATGACGAATGTGCAAAATCACGATTTTGGGATTTTGATGCATTTTTACTAAGTTGGACATGCTCTTTCGATTTCTGCAATCCATTTTTTTATATCTCTATTAGTTTTTGAGATATTTCGTGCGCATTTTGTCGTATGTTACATAATATTAATGATTGGGTATGCCTTTTGTTGTATGTGCTGAAAATGCGTCACATACGACAAATTCCCATACAAACGTACCTTTTTTTTAATCATGAAACGTTTGTCGTATGTGGCACATACGACAAATTCCCATACAAATGTAATCTTTTTTTAATCATAAAACATTCGTCGTATGTATCGCAAAACTTTGAACTTACGACAATTGGATGGTACTATAACGATACAATTAAAATTGAAAATTAAACTAAGTAACTAATTTTAAAATTTTAAATTTTTAAATTTTAGCTTGCACTGAGTCTCCCATGAAATGAAAGAGATAAAAATGTACAAAAGACTGAATTTAAGTATTGTTTTTTGTTTTATATAAAGAAAACGTATGTTCGTAACATATTTACAGCATAAGAGATGTACAGATTTTTTTTATTAAATACATGATTATGTTTTTGTTATGTTTTTTCTAATAAGTAATCATTATTTAATAAATATGTCTGTTTTTTTCATCAAATTATACCATCGTCGTTGAAATAGATACTTTACTATTGTCGTATGTTCTGTGGACAAAACAAAGTGGTGAGTAAACGCTACTTACGACAAATGTATACGGAATGAAAAGTAAATTTTCTCATTAACGTTAAGAGATATTAAATGTAAAAATATGGGAAATCAAAACTAATAACACCAACTACGTCTCCTTCAAAAGTTACAAAAATCTACCGTACAGTTTCGGATTAATTCGACCTTAAACTTCAAAGTCAATTTTCTCAAAACCGTGTTTTGTAACATTCGACATCCGTTTTCTGAGACGACGATATAGAGATGACGTGGAGCGTAGCGTTGAGCACTTTAATGATACTGTTTTCAATTTGTTTCGAAAGTATGTGCCAATACGTAATATTGTTCATGAAGAACCAATACAATTATGGTTCACTAAAGAGCTTAAAAAATTGAAAAATAAAAAGTCGCACTCTTTTAAACTGTATAAAAGAACGGGCTTACACAGTGATTACCTAAGGTACTCAGTTTTGCGGCATAGCTACTTTGCATTAAATAAGAAATGTTATAATTCATATTTATGTAAAATTAAGAAGAATTTAATTAACAATCCTAAATCATTTTATGGTTTCATAAATTCAAAGCGTAAGTCACATGGTTTTCCGTCCGCTATGCATTATCGCAACACTGTATCTAGCGACAGCCAACTCATTGCCAACATGTTTGCTCGGTTCTTTAGGTCCAATTATTCTGTAGACTTCCCTATAAGTGGAGACTATCCGTACGAGCTTTGTCCAATCAACTCTGCTTATATTCCAGCAATATCTTCCGATGAAGTTTTACACTCTTTAAAAACCTTAAAAGCGTCATTTAGGCCTGGACCTGATCATATTCCGACCTGTTTTCTTAAAAACTGCGCTGAGAACATCTGCGAGCCTTTAACAACTCTATTC